CCTACCCATTCTCCCTCTACCCTCCCTGTTTTGCCACTCACACCACTGGTCCTATAGGGCTCATCCGTCCTGGATTCCCTGTATTTTTAGTTCCTAAGATAGCTCTTTTAGATCAGTTTATTTTGCCCTCATGAAGCCAGTCAAGAAGGTTCTATTATTGTTCAACTTTTTAGAGGAGGAACTGAAGACAGAGAAAGGTCAAGTAACTAGCTGAAGGTTATTTAACTATTATGGAAAATAAGTATTCCATCCTATGTAGACCCAGGTCCCATGCTTTTAACTGTTAGACTCTGCAAGTTAATATTCAGGTAGAAAAAGAATAATCGTTGACTAAATACAATGCCAATTAAGTTTAGAGTGAGTTTATATTCACCCAAGACGTGTGTAGAGACTTTATTCCTTTATGGTAATACATATTGCTATAAGCAACATTTCATTTTCTTTCCTTTTTTTCCTCTTTCAGTTTTTCAGTAATGGAACAAAAACATATTATAGCCCCGGAGCTTCCCGGTCTCAATTCTTTCCACCCCTTAAAAAAGCGATGCTCCCACCGGATAGTTTCAAAGGAAAAGTGGCATTCATTACCGGAGGAGGGACTGGCCTCGGTAAAGGAATGGCCACCGTCCTATCCAGCCTGGGAGCCCAGTGTGTGATCGCTAGCCGGTGAGTCTGTCTCAGCCAGTTGCCAGAGAATCCTTTAAAGAAACAACTTTGTTGCCACAGTAGAGAAAATACTGTTTTTGCCAACGTGGTTTAATTTGCTTCTTAAGCTCTTGTCGGTAGTTGTCTTGGAGTGGGTGCCTCCTCGCGGTGCCTCCCGTGCGTAGGGCATGTGGAATTGCTCCACAGGGGTTTCAGTGCTCTGGCTTTTGGAAGCAATTTGCCTGCTCTGTCTTCTGAGGTGCATTTAGGTGGATTTGAACAGCCAACGGTCGACTAAATTGAGCGCTTAACCATTTAATCAACCCAGGAAATTAAGAACCCCCTAGATGACTTAAATACATTTCCTTGGAAAAGGTCAGATGTAACTGGAGATGGCAAAAATGTTGATGATTATAGAGCTGATGATATGTACATTTCCCAAATTCATGGATAGAATATTTTTCTGTCCACCAAGATGAAATGAAAAAGTACTGCTTCAAGACAGCTTCATTATCTGTGGGTGTAATGATGATTATTCTTTCAATAGATAATTAACCTTGAGGAGAATGGATATAATTACTCCATTTTCCTCTAAGATAGGCAAGTATTTCAAAACATCTTTGTTGTGATGGATGTAGGAAGCATCAGGCACGTGGATGGCATTTCTTCTTCTTTTAGGCACATTCTGGTTCTCTGTGCCTTTAGACTGAATGCTGGTGGTGGTGTGGGTAGGAGCTGGTTTGCTAACCGAAAGATTGATAATTAGATGTTCACACCCCCTAGCCAAGGAAGCCCTGGTAACCTGCTTCCATAAAGATTGCAGGCAAGAAAGCCTTAGGGGCAGCTCTATTGGATCATTGGGGGCCACTATAAGTGACACTCACCTGACAGAACCCAACTTTTCTAAAAACATGCCCGGGGAAGCTTAGCTCCAGAGACTGGTGAAACACCTACCCAGTCTTCTAATTTTGAATCATGTAAAATGCTTCAGTAGACCAAGTAAGACCAATCTCAATGCCAGTCACTCTGTCACTCAGAGGGCCATAAAAGTTTTTCATATGTTTTTCTTTTATACAAATTGACTAGTACTGTGTAAGAGTTTTAAAACGTTTCCAATGTTATATTGCATAGTCTGTACTCATGGTTTATATTTCTGTGTTTGTCTCAATAACAGGAGACTGAATGGATATAGGCTGCCCAAATCCACCAATTTTTAAAAATTACTTATGTTATGGCAAAAAATATTTTCTTTTTAAACCTGGTTTGAGCAAAGGAGCCAATATAAAGAACTACAACTAAGGAAAATATTTTATCTTTATAGTAGACAATACAAAAATAACTGAACAATTTGTGAACAATTCCACAAATCAGGGCAAGACTTACAAAAGTGTTTTGAATTTAACCTTTGGAAAATACATTCACCTACTAATTTGTAGATGAAGTTTTAGTGTCTTCTCAAGAATGTAAAACTCGCTTCATCCAGTCAGAGGTGACTCAGGAACCCTGTGGGTTTCTGAGACTGTACCTGGTTACAGGAGTAGAAAGCCCAATTTTCCTCCCACGGATCTCTGGTGGTTTCAAACTGACATGTCTCCATCTTTTTGCTCTAGAGTCTCTGTGTCCGTTTGTGTTTAGAATTAAAAAGAAAAAACATATATCTGAAGTCCTTTTAAAGCTCACATGAAGCAATTGCATATATTCTAGGAACATTGATGTTTTGAAAACAACGGCTGAAGAAATTTCTTCTCAAACTGGAAATAAGGTACATTAAAAAAAATCACTTAAATGTGGACCTTAGAACATATTTAAATATCTGTCCTCATGTTTCAGTTTAGAAAATTGGGAAACTGTTGGATTTCCCTTTATCCTTGTTATTTTGCAGGTTCATCCACTTCAGTGTGACGTGAGGGATCCTGCTATGGTTCAAAACGCGGTGTTAGAACTGATCAGAGTTGCAGGCCACCCTGACGTGAGTGTCTTGGTAATGAGGTCAAAGTAGGAGGCGTGGAGATGAACACCACGATCGTTTCAGGAAATAAAATGTTGATGGGAGCCAGTGCTGGGTTGAGCAACCCCTTATTTTTGATCATTAAGAAATTGTACTTTCTTTTTTTTCTCTTTCATGCTATTTATTTATTTTACAATAGTTTTATTGAACTTAAATTTTTTTTCTTAGAAATTATACTATTAAAGATGCCAACTCTGCTTGAAGCAGAATGCAGATTAGCTGGACTGTGGTGCCACTGCCTTTCAGGAACACTTAAAAAGAAATGTATCTGCAATCATATAGAACAAGTGTCATAAGACTATGGAATAGTAAGAGCCAGGATCCAAGGGCTAATAACTATTTTAGGTCATCCATGCTCTTTATTTTATGAATAGCTTTGGATTATCTCAGTTAGTAGAAGAATTCAGTACAGACAAGGAAAACTACAGGAAACTCCAAATTATTCCTTGTAAGATGTGAGATATGTGTGTGGATATTTTGTTGATCTTTCATTCACATACTGGAAAATCATCCTCTCTAATAACCTTAAAGAGAGCATTTTTCTGTGTTAAAGGTGTTTTTAGACAGACCAATAATACAGAATCTATTATAGACCAAACAGAGGGTTTATTAATAATGAAGAAACAGGTTACCAGCCAACCAGTTTTGGGGGGTATATTCCATCAAAATGACAGCCAGTAAACCAGATGTCATTGAAGTGGTTCTGACTCCCGGAGCGTTCCTGTGTATCACAGTAGAACTGTCCTTCATAGGGGTGTCAGTGGTTGACGCTTGAGAACTCGTTTGATAATTTTTTTTCTTTATGAGGTGCCTATGGGTAGATTTGAACTCCTAACCTTTCAGTTAGCAGGTGAAAGAATTAACTATTTGCATTACGCAGGAACTGCAAATAAAGAAACCAGAAATTGAGAGAATTCTTGAGATTCCTGAAATACAGTGTAGTATATGCAGGGTTGCGGTTGGTGTTAGTTGTTGCTGAGTTGCTTCTGATTCAGGGTGACCACATGTTCACAGAGTAGACCCCACAGGGTTTTAAGACAGTGACCTTTGAGTAGCAAATGACGAGAATTCCTTAAGCAGCCCTAGTGGTGCAGTGGTGCTGCATTGGGAGAAAGATGAGGTTTCCTGCTTTTGTACAGATTTACAGTCTGAACATCCCACGATGGCAGTTCTACCCCACCCTATAGGGTCACTGTGAGTTGGAATCAACTCAATAGCAGTGAGTTCTTTGAAAGGCCTGTCTCCCCAGGTGCCTCTCTTGGTGCTTGCGAGTCATCAGCCTCTCAGCTTGTACTTGAAGACTTCACCCTTCAGCTCCAAGCAGGGGCCATCAGTCACATGGCCAACAAGCTGAATCTGTATTTATTTTTGTAATATTATACTCTGCCCTAATTTCCAGATAGTGGTTAAGATTCTAAAGGTTGGTAAATAACATTGGTTTTCTGAGCCTCAGAAATGTCAGTCAGAACCAAACTTCCTGGTTTTGCTTCATAGTTTGCTTTGAACTTCAGTGCTATTGCATTATTTGCATTAATACATGTCAGAAATAAGTCCTTGGGAGACAATGTCCTTCCTCATCTAACAGCTTCTATGATTTGCTTTGTCCACTTGTTAGGTAGTGATAAACAATGCAGCAGGAAACTTTATTGCCCCCAGTGAACGGCTCTCTCCTAATGCTTGGAAGACCATAACAGACATCGTTCTAAATGGTACTGCCTATGTGACACTAGAAATTGGAAAGCAACTAATTAAAGCACAGAAAGGTATGTTTATTTGTCATCACACATTTATTGTGCCCCTGCTGTGTGCACTTTGGGCTAAGTCCTAGAAAACCTAGAATAAATTGTGAGGTAGTAACTATACTTAGATGACTTTCAATCTAATGGGAAAAAAAGAGAGAAAAAAGATAATTAAATATCTGAAGTACATTGTGATGTTGTCTATACAAAATATATATTCATAGTACCATGGGAACCTGGAGACAGAAATGACTGACTGAGTAGGGTTGGTGGGCAGGCTGCGGAACATGATGCAATTTAAGCTAACATTACTAAGATCTCTGTGTAGAGAAAGGAGAGGGGAAGGCCGTGTCCACGGGTGGGACTTTGGAGGAGGGTGAAAAGGAGCATGTAGGGAATAAAGAGAAATTTGACGTGACTGCAAATGGGGAAGGGAAAGTGGGCAGCATCCTTTTGGGATGATGGGTTGGGGTCGAATTGAAAAAGCTCCCAACACCAAAATAAGGAGCCTGCAGTTGATTCGGAAGGAAAAGGGGAGCTGTTTTTTTGTTTGTTTTTTAATGGATTTTCCTAGAAGATGCTTCATGAAGAAGAATGTGACTCCATTAGAGATACTACATGTAGCAGTGTGGGGATGGAAAAGACCAGGAAGACCCACCGGTTCAGGTGGGAGGGGTGTATCCTTTGGCATGTGATAGAAGGTTCTCTCAAGCTCACTGCCGTCACGTCAATTCTGACTCAGAGAGATGCTCTAGGACAGAGTGAAATTCTCCTGGTAGGTTTATGAGGCTGTATATCTTTACTGGGGTAGAAAGCCTCCGTTTTCTCCCAGGGAATGGCTGATGGGTTCAAACTGCTGACCTTGGGATTAGCAGCCAACTCAAAACCCACTCTACCACCAAAGCTCCTGCATAGATAGGAAGAGGGCTGAATTAGAAAACATTTAAAAGATATAATCAACGGGACCTGCTAATTGGATAAGAAAATCATTGTAGTTGTAAATCGCTGTCGCAGAGCCTGTGCTACAGTGGATTCGAACCCTTGTGATACACGAGGTTCTCACCGACTCACTTTTGTGAGTAGATTGCCAAGTCTTTCCATCCTGTTTTAGTCTGGATGCTCTGCTGAAACGTGTTCAGTATCATAGCAACATTCAAGCATCTGGCGGATGACACATGGATGGTGGCCGTGCGTGCAATATGCTAGGTGGAAGGAGAGAATTCTACAACTGACCACCTGTGGTCCTCTCGAGAGGTTTTGCTCTTATGCTGCTATGTGCTGTCCAGCCCGCGCCCGCTCATGATGGCCCATGTACAACGGACAAAACTGCTTGCTCCTGTGCTTGCTTCCGATTGTGGCTGTGCTAAGCCTAGTATCGCAGCCAGGATGTTAATCCATTTCCCATCTTGCTGAGGGCTCCCCTCCTTTTCACTGACTCTCACTTTTCTAAGCAGGAAATCTTTCCCCAGAGACTGGTCCCTCCTGATTATGAGAGGGGGCAGAGAAGGGTGGGGGAGAGAGAAAGATAATAGTTTTACAGGGAAGTTATTGGAAGAACAGTTTAGTGTCATATGATGAATGGACTTTCTTGTAAAAGTTCATGCATATGTAGATAATATATGTGGTATATATATGCATACACCTAGAGCCTTTATATAATGGTTTAATAGACACTTGGCTGATGACTTGTGCACTGGCCTGTGAGGAGGACCACAGCAGAGGGGCTAAGACTGTGTCCCTGAGTAACTTAGGGTTGCCACTTGAAGGATGCGGGTATTTTCTCAGAGCAGGTAGAGTATGCTGATCAAGGACTTCAAGAGACCTTTGCAAAGGCAGTCCTTTGAGATTGAGGGTGGGAAGGAAGGCGTGAAGCTGGCCGGTTTCTTCCTCTGCCATATTAGACTCGATGTCTTTGACTTTGGGGCATGGATAGTCCTCAAAGTAACTTGAGAAAGAACGCAGGGCAGGCAGGGATCCTAGTTGCTGAAGGGTCAGTAGTGGGTCTTTCTTTTTTGATGCTAAGAACTTCTATCCGTTCACCATGTAGTCAATGAAATTGAAACCCCAGATGCATAAAAGTGGGTGTGATTCAAATTTGAAGTTTGGGTATTTTAAAAATATACGATTATTTGTTTTTTTCCAGAAGGAATGGATGATTGGAAGTAGGGACAGAAAAGGATGGTGAGCTGACTCCTCTATCTCTCCGACTCTCTGCCAAGGGCGTGTTCTCTCTCCCCATCGCTTACTTATCTCTTCATTTCGTTCTCTGTCCCTGTCAAAGCTTCCCTTTGGGTTCTCAATTTTTCTGTTCGTCGCGGTTTCTTGGATCACTCTGTCCTTCTCTGTCTCCTTTATTTCTTCTCCTCATCTATCCTGCCCTGTATTTCCCTTCTTTCTCATTATTGTCTTTCCTTCTAACAGAGGGTTTGATCTATTTTTATTCATCACATGGGATTAAAATTCTATGGGCTTCATTAAAAATATAAGAGTTACGTTTTTAAAAGATGGAAGCCCGTTTTTAGTCTTCCAAGATTCCTGTCAGTTATTGATGAAAGAACCTGACAGGTTTAAGGACTTGGACCCTCCTTTTAGGAGAGTCCTGGTACCAGGTCTATTCTGGTTTTAGATCAACAGCCAGAGAATTTAGGAGCTCTTGATCTTTTTAAAGTATGTCAAAGTGTGTACATCAGGAAGTCAGCTCACAGGGCAGCCGTCTCCCGTCATCTGTGGTCAGAAGTGTGCTTGATGGTCCAATATCTAGAAAAGCTAATAAAGCCATCTGAGAAGTCACACTCAAACCCAAAACACCAAAGTCATGGCCACCAAGTTGTTTCTGATTCATCGCGGCCCTATAGGACAGGGTCGAGCGGCCCTGTGGGGCTGCCAAGGCTATAACTCTGTGCAGAGGTGGAAAGCCCCAGCACATCAGAGAAGGACATTTTCATAATCTCCAAAAGGTCTCTCTGGCCACCTCCTCCTTCAAATCCATCCTCATCATATGTTTAAACCTTTAGTCTGTCTGTCTCCCCGCCACCTCTCCCACCTCCATTATAATTTTTTATTATGTTTCTGGCAAAAGCTTACAGAGCAGATTACTAGTTTTCCATTCCACAATTCATACACATTTTGTTTAATCTCATTCTTTGCAATGCTTTCCATGAACCATCGTTTCCTCTACTACTTCTCTGTTTCCATGCCCCTTCTGAACTTTTGAAAAACTTGTAATTTGAAATTAGGTGAACAAGGTTCAGATTTCTATTAGGTTTATACATTTTTTTCAATGTCACTGATTGTAAGCTATTTTAAGTTACAAAAGAGACCCCACTCTCAAGGAGAACATTTATTAAATTTTAAACCAGGACAAAGACCCGACAAAGACACATCATCTGGATGAGGGAGACCACTGGCAAGAGGACTTATAGCCAGGGAGCTAGTTAAATGAGGCATGGCCAAAGGGAGCTGTCACAATTTTATGATTGGTAGCAGATCAGTACATCAGAGTTACAGATGGGGCTATGGATTTGGGAACAGGACTGTGATTGGGACATGTACCTTCTATTAGATAGAAGAGCTTGCAAAATTGGCACAGGACCTTCCAACCAAGGCAGTCAGGGAAAGATGGACAGGGCATGACTCATGACTATAAGGCACCCCCCCACGCCCCAACCCCTCCCTGCAGTACTGTCCACCAAGGACATACCTGGGCAAGTCCCTAAGGACCTACCCTGGAGAGGGGTAGAGGTGCTTTCCAATGCACTCTGCCTGAGAGTAAGATCTTTCTCGTCCCTAGTTAATAGTCAGAAGGAATTCAATGGAGGTTTAATCTCGGAGGGCAAGGGCAGGACCCTGCAAATGGATTTTGGGCTTTCACTGTCACCCATACCCTTCTGCAAAAGGGGTGTTTAGAATTTAAACTTTAAATTCTACAGCATAACGTTGGTCATTCCCACTTCTACCTATGTTTTCAATTTCCATTCCTCGTTCTTTTTAAAATTTTTATTTAATCATTTTATTGGGGGCTCGTACAACTCTTATCACAATCCATCCATCCATCCATCCATCCATCCATCCATTGTGTCAAGCACATCTGTACGTTTGTTGCCATCATCATTTGCAAAACATTTTCTTTCTACTTGAGCCCTTGTCCTTTTTCTTTTCTAACCTTTTTGAACTTCTATCTTGGACAAATGCCACCCTATGGCTGATTGTGCTGAGGAGGTTATACTTCCGTAGTGTTACCATTTGTGTCAAAGACCTGCCTTGTTCTTGGTGCCTTCGACTTGGTTCTGACCCATAACAATCCTACGCACAACAAAATGAAACACCACCCAGTCCTACAATTGCACTTATCTATGAGCCCATTGCTGCAGCTACCGTATCCATCCATCTGGTTGAAGGTTTTCCCCTTTTGTGTGGCTCCTCTGTTGGACGAAGCCTGGTGTCCTTCTCCAGGAGCTGGTCCCTCTGACCACATGTCTGCAGGACGTCAGACAGTCTCACCATCCTTACCTCGAGGGTCATTTTCCCTGTACTTCTTCCAAGACATTTTTATTTGTTCTTTTGGCAGTCCACGGTACTTTCAATATTCTCCAGCATGCTAATCCAAATGCATTGATTTTATTGTGGTCTTCCTTATTCAATATCCAACATTCACATGCTTATGAGGCAATTGAAAATATCATGACTTGGTTTCATAGACCTATCTCGTGGGTCCTATACTGGGCGATACCACCTTCTTGGTAGGTTGCTGCTGGAATGGTGTGGGGGGGCTGGGAAAGTAGATATTACAAATGTCTTTACTTGCCAAGGGAGTGCCCTGTGATTGGTTTTTTTCTTGTAAAGGGGGCAGTAGACCAAATAAGCTTAGGAACCAGTGGAGCTTTAATTGAACAATTCATTCATCTGGGTGAGTGTCATTCCAGATCTGAAGGTGATTAAGAGCCTCAATCTCCTGGTTCTACCAATCACTATCTGAGAAGTAAATCTGGTCTTTTAAAAACATGATAATTTAGAATTTTGTTCCA